TAAAGGTTTCTTTATGTTTAAAAAAAAGATATAAGCTATTTTATTTTCTGATAGTTTCACTCCATAAATAAAGATTACATTAAAAAAAGTATACATATTATTATACAAAAGTATTTTATTTCCTTGTTTGTTGTGTGTAATACATAACCAGATTTTGACCAAAGCAGAATTGAACAAAGAGAAGAAATAACTAAATAGCATAGGTACATAGGAGAAATTGATGTTTTTATATAAGTGGAGAAATCATTTCTAGAAGGTTATAAAAACTGTCTTCATCCATCCGGAGAAAATTAATCATGTCTTTGGAATACAGATCATTTAGTACGTTTATGTGGCTTAATTTTTGTCTCTTTGGGAGCCATTTTTTCACCCAGCAACTCCTCTTTTTCTATTTTCGAATAAATTTACCGAGAGGGCTAATGCCAAACCAATACATTGGTGTTTTAAGAGAGTAGAAGCTATTTTGAAGAACTCTACCGCATATGTGTTCCGCTCCAAGTCCGAACGCGTACTGCTAGGCAGGCCCGTGTGTAGGGTCTGCCCCGATAAAAGCCCCGATTTCTTTCCACCCTAGATCGCCACCGATATCGTCTCGTGTGTAGCCCGTTTAAAGTGCAGTGCATGCACCGCAGTTGAGTGGAACAGAGTAGCTGAATGCAGTGTCTCCTCTAGTACGTAGTACATAATAGCTCAATGTTATAACCGGACCAAAAGCGTGTAAATCATGGTAACATTGATTAATTCTTTTCATCATATAGGAACACTTCAATTGTTTGACTATTGTGTCTTTACAGTTGTTGTCTACAGGAAAACTGTCAATATGAACCAATTTGCATTATTTTGGTTTAACTTTGAATACAGTTTTATAGGTTTTGCATAAATAACTACTTGTAATAGTCAACTATCAACATCACTAGTACGTAGAAAATACGTGTAGATATTAGTAAAACTAAATATACGCGGGATCGAATCCCCCTTTCCCACTACTTTCGTATATCTAAATGTCTTCAAGCATAAACATTTTAAAATACCTAGTTGGAGTGGTTAAAGTAATTTTAATTATTTCATTATTTATAGTTTTTATTACAAAACTCTGAAATTATTATAGTGTAGTGACGTATCAGCTAACTCATGTTACAGATAACTCGTGCGTAATTACACAGATCTTAGTTTACGTCTTGATTTTAAAATATAATTAATTCATAAATCACAAACAAATTTCAAATAAAATTTTAGATTTAGTCTTTGCTAATGTTAAAATAGAAAGTTTACATGCAGAATTGCTGCGTAACATGACTAAACGACATGGGTAGAGGAAATGAATTATTGAACATCGGTTGATTTTATATACAAATTAAGAAAATTATTGCAAGATCAATATTTTTTTTTATTCATACTTCGAGTATTTTTCGTCTATATTGCATGCTATGGTATCCAATAATTAGGGCAACATTCAGTATTTAACCATATAATAGAAATATTATAATGTAATGTTTTACGTGTTAGAGCCATGCTACAACCATAATATAGTTGCAGCATGGCTCTACCACAGATTAGTAAATAATTTACCAACGGATACATCACTCCCATATAAAAGCGAAAATACCTACGCTATAATAGCCTACAAAATCATAATAATGATATCTGCTGTTCGCAGCGAGAAGAAAATATACCATAAATACCAATTAACTAACTTTAAGTAACTTTTCTTTCATACTTCCATCCTGGCTTAGGACAGGCAAAAATTGAGGAATTAAGGAAAAAATTGAGATTTTACTAAAAAATGTTGTTATTTTTCATTTAATTTACGTTCTATAAGTGAAAGCAAACCACTGGTTTCAAGGATAACGGTATTTACACTAACAGCCTGTATAATAAATACCCTTTTTGACTTTGACACTCATCCACTGCACAATAATTACGTGGTTTCGGTATTTCGACGAGTAAGTGCGGGAAACGTGCGTGGTGCGAGCGCTCAGGCGGGCGTGCGGCAGCCCAATTTCGGTTGTATCGTGGGCGATACGCAAAGCGATAGGCATATAACGCGTGGCCTTAAGTGAGTGACTGAGGCCTGACTCTACCACGTATCTCTATCTAATCTAAAACACTTTAAATATTTATGAATAATATGTTTTATTTATCTAATAGCATTAATTAATCACTATTTTTGGTTTAACGATGAAAACAATAGCTTAGGGCCAGCAAGTAACAATTTCTTGGAATTTCTCTAACAGAATACCCGTGAAAAATAGTAGTTCAATGCAATTGTGTTTCGTATGGTGAGTGTAAAGAACTATCTCAGTCGCAGGTGCTACAACAATGATAGTATATGATAGTTGTAGATGTTTATGGGCCAGAGCATCCACTTACCATCATGGACTGGACTGTGTGCTCGTTTTTCATTCTTATTCTATAAAAAAACAATAATGTGTAATGCATGTCTTGTGGGTTATCCTAAACTAATAAAAAAATAATGATACCTAATAATTTAACTGTTGATTTATACAGTTTTTAGTTACTAATGGAGCAGTGGTAGCTCAGTGGTTAACACTCGCTGTAAATATAACAGACCGCGAGTAACCAGGTTTGGATCCCTGCCGGCACCAATGAAATTGTTAATTGCAATTTTAAGTGCTGATTTACAACGTGCTCGGCGGTGAAGGAAAACATCGTGAGGAAACCTGCATATCTGAGGAATAAAAAAAAAATATTTCGAAGACATATGAAGTTCGTCAACACGCATTTGGGCAGCGCGGCGGACACTTCCTTGCCCTAAACCCTCTCAGAAATGAGGGAAGGCCTGAGCCCAGCAGTGGGACGTATATAGGGTGTAACTACTTTACTTTACTTTAGTTACTAATGGAAACATCGTCATTGCCAATGATTGTACCTGGTGAGAGTCTCTAAGTAGAAGTCAGTTTGTGTCTGTATCACGCTCTTAACTATTTATGATGCCAATTTATACCACACTTACTTTCGTTTTGTAGCTTGATAAAGTACCTAATAAAAGTACATGATATAACTTATTTAATCCTAATTCTTATGCGTAACAACGAAAAGTAAACTTAACAACCATTACAAACCACAAGAAAAAAAACAAGTGTGCTTATGACCACACGACTAAAGTAAAACTTATTTTCTACATGTGTTTAAACTTATTATCGATTTCCTTCCATAATTTGTTATTATTCACCCGAAAATTCACAAATCATGAATTTTAAAACGAATTTACAATTTTATTCACTTTAAACGTAGAATACTTATTTAATGTATTAAACAAAATATTAATTCATAAAATTAAGAAAAATAACTGGCTATGAGAAAAAGAAAATGTGTTCAATCTTTAATATAAACTACCACTCCATCATTTTGAATGGGATTATGTTTGGTTGAAAATACACGATAACCTGGTAAAGATGGTATAACAAGCGTACACGATAGCCAACCCTCTGTCAAGATAAAAATATACACTTTATTAATCTTTTTTAATCTTGCAAGTAGAACTTCAAAACCAGTTATGTTTAATTTAATGCTGCGGATGTTTTGTGTAAGGATTGGGAGGGAAGTTTGTGAAACTTTATTATTTATTTTACGTATGTGTGCGCGCCTAAATTAAAGTCTGGTACCTGACACTAGCGCCACCTTGTGTCGGGGAACAGAGCGAGAAGAGCTTTCTAAAAAATGCCATGCTAGAACTTTCCACCAACGGTGCCATCTAGTATCGAATAGAAGAACTAAGCTTTCTGGAAAACTCCACACTCGAACTTTCACCCACATAGTCGGCCGGGACCGGTATTTGCTGGAATATTCTAGATGTTTCGGTGGAAAAGGCCTATTTAAAGCCGTTGAAAGCCGCGATCGGGCCAGTATGAATTGGCGATACGAGCGAAGCTTGCGGAGCGAAATAAAGTGTTAATTGTGAGTAAATATTAGTGTGATTTAAGTTTTAATTGGTGTTCAGTAATTAAAGTGTCAATTTTGGTAATTCAATCGGCAGTTTTTAGTATCACGAACCCTAAGCTCGTAACAGTTTTAACTTATTGCTCTCTCTTGCTTATATCCCCCATTCAACTCCCGTTCGCCTCGCCCGATAACACTTTTCGTAACACACGTAAAGAAGTTTTACTTTGAGATTAATTCAAAATTATACAGATTTATGCAAAATGACCAAAAGGTAGAAAGAAGGAAGTTGGTAAATTATAAAAGTATATTTACTTCAATATCCCCGTAGCTGATGAAAGTGATAGAAGACTTTTTAGTAGATCGCTTAATTATTGTATCGCCAGGAATATAATGAATCGTCTCCATCTTTTTTGCAACCTCACATAGAAATTGGTAAGATAAGTCGCAGAGAATGCGGCTCTGAAATCAAAAAATCATCATTTATTCCGTTTATACATAGAAACTTTTTCTTAAAACTAACATAGAGTCGGTTTTATGTACTGTTATCCCTGTTACTCACAACCATAACGTTTTTATGATGGCTTCTTGGCCAATGTCCATAAAATATAAATCTTACTACCATCCATCCATCAGACAGTCGTTATTCGAGTTTCTTAAGAGTGTTGATCCATGGATGATATTTCTTTCGGTTGTCGACAAGTGAAAGTAAATGGAAGACCTATTGAAACTTCCAGCCTGTTAAGTCTGTACAATATTTGGTAGATTTTCTAAAAAAAGTTTTTCACATGTGCATTAACTTGCACCGTAATAATATCATCATCATCATTATTACATCCATCCGCTGCTGAACATATACCACCTTACAGATTGCCTAGTAAGTGATATTTGCCATAGTTGTCACGCTTGGCAATCGGATTAGCAAACGTAGTTTTTGTCTAGTTGTTATTTAGAAGACGCTGCTGCCTATCTTCTGGTTTGGTTCTTTCTGTTGGCTCGTGCGACACGTACGAAAAAAACCTAGAGTGATTACCCCCACTTTTTTCAACGAAATAAAGTAAAAGTAGAGACCACGCATAAGAGTAAATCAGGAAGCTTACCCTTTGGGTAGCCTTAAAGTAAATATCCGTGTGGACTATAGAGGGTAACCAAGGTGGAAACGTAGGCAGGAGTTGAGTGGTGCAAACAGCCTTTTGCTTGTGCCAGTACATCTTGTAGAACGTGTGTACCTTTTTACTCAGACTTGCAGGCACCTTGGACTCTATCTGAAAAGTTAACCATATTAACAAACGCTTGTTACAAAATTGATACTTGATTTTGTTGGCACTAAGGGTCAGTTCACATCGAGACGCGACGCGACGCGACGATGCATGAAGAGGTTTCGCATCGCGCAGCTACCCACCATCATAATGCTGTTATAGTAGTTCTACCACGTAAAAATACATTATAGTATAAAGGTCTCACTAAAAACTTACTATGGAAATGATTCAATGAAGTAAGGCCTTATTCAGGATTATTTTTCAAAAAATAGCCAAATTTTAAACATTCAAATATATAAATAATAGCATACCGTTATTGGAGTTTTTGAAAAATGAGTAAATAAGGCTTCTTTTTTTATTGGAAATTATTCCAAATTGAATGTGATTTATAGGCAACTACGTTGTCTACCAATTAACCCTTACGAATGTATGCGTGCGCAGTAAAATTAGTTAAAATAATTTATTTAAAAAATAAAAAGGACATAACGTCTGAGATTTTTTGGCTGGTTATTGCAACGTAACTCTGTTTACTGTGCATGGTTGGCACACGCTCACTTCTGCGCACTTGAGAATTACCTCACTTACTTCCTTTGAGTTGAGATCTGTGCGTTTTGTGTTTCTGTTCACTTATCTATTTTACGACGATTTTGGCATATTCACCTACCAGACTCGATTAACTCGCTTCAAGATTGGATTGTTGATATCGCAGACAATCTACCAATCGCGAACAGCATATCACATTACAATGCTGTTCGCGATTGCTACATACCATGTTAAGATAGCGCGTTTCTAGTGTAGCGATCATTTGAAAGCGAGTGAGGGTTATGATATGGAGTTATACAGACATCCAGAGGCGATTATTAATCATCATGTTCTCATTAGATGCAGGATCAATTCTCGCCACATCACTACGAGAACTTATTGTATTTATGTTTTTATAACCCAGAGATTGCGGGTAGAAATGCTATTAGCGAGTACTGCGGTTCTTGCTATCACGGTAAAAGATCATTGGGTAGTTGCGCTCATGTGGTGAGTGTCATTTATCACCTGGGGTGGACTAGACACCAGTACAACTTTTACCATCCCGCACTACGTATGGCAACAGTATTATTAGATCAATAAAACTAAGTTTTAATGTGTTGCTGCCATTTATTACCGGTCATTCATTAAAAATTCAGAGCACGGTTCAGAGATTTTATTGAATAACACTATTGTCTTATCACCTGGAAGTCTTAGTTATACGACTAACACTAGAGCGGCCGGGAATAAAAGGTGCTCTCAATTTCTTCCTTCAATTGGCAACATTTTTATTTTTAATGTTTTATAATGGTATTCTTTTTATATTTCTCCTAAATAAAAATACAAGGCAAGATTATAATGTTAGCCATCGATTTTTTTACAGAGTAAGAGTGACGAACGAGCACACAGTCCACCTGATGGTAAGTGAATGTTGTGGCCCATAGACATCTACATTTATCCTCGATTAAAAACCAAAACGTAGATGCGTTGTTACCCCTGAGGACTAAGACGCAATATTATGCTCGTTTCTAGTAAAAAAGGGTCTCCGGATCTCTACACTCACCATACGAAACACAGTAGTATTAAGCTGCTATTTTAAGCTGGTATTCTGTGAGAGCGTGGTCCTTCTCCGGTCGAGTTGACCCATTGGTGCTAAAACCATAATATAACTGCAGCATTGCTTTACCACGCATAAATAATCAAATAAACTGACACTTTATTATTGTTACACTTTATATAACAAAAAATCCGTGATACTTTACTTTTGTGCCGAATCTCGGTCACAGTTGACCACTCACTTGGTGCGGCTGGCTTGTACATACGTAATTTATTACTTGTCCACTGGGATTAAAAACATAGTGAATAAATCATCACCTTCATCTTTACAGCCCCTCACAAGTCTTCTGCTGAATATAGGCCTCCACTAAGGAACGCCACAAAGTGAGAAAATATAAAAATATAAAAAATAGGCCTAGAAATATTTTGCAATGCGGCATGTGCGGCAATGGGCTGGCCATGCAGCTCGAAGAACCAACAACCGATGGTTAAGAAAGGTTCTCAAGTGGCAGCTTCGAATCAGTAAGCGAAGTGTGGGGAGGGTCCCCACTAGATGGAGAGACAACCTGGTAAGACATGCAGGAAATCGATAGATGCAGGTGGCTTGGGGAAGGTGTATGTTCAGCAGTAGACTTGTGAAGGGATGAAATGATGATCATGATAAATGAGCTTAATAGAAGCCAGTTATTTCAATATCATAGACAGAAACTTCAATTTTATTTATATGTATAGATAAGAATAGATGAATAAAATAGGAAATCTGTTAACCTTCACTGGGGTTAAATTACTGCGAGATTACTCAGAATTAAGGTAAATCCAGGGCCACGAAATGCTTACCATGTCTCTCATGATCAAGCGGAATCTCGCTCGGAACGTCTCCTCAGGCTTCATATAGATCGCAATCACGAGGGACAGCGAGGCGATAGCCGCGCCTTGCACTACCAGGCAACCTGATATCATGATCAGCATACACGTAACGCGCTCCATGTCCGTCTCCGCGGCAACCGATGGTCTGAGAAAAGGCTTATAAAGTCATAATGTCCTGCGAACGAATTTCAGTCATGGCAGCCAGTCCCAAAGGAGACCCATCTACATAGGACTGGCTCTTAGTGCCCAAGTTTATGCGTAAGCAGAGGTGCATTCACTATTCCCTCACTCACATAGTCCAATCACAGCCTAAGAAGAACATACGGTCAGTCATCGCGTTTCATATTGTCGGCAAAGCCGATGTAAACAATAAATTGCTGATGCCAATTATACAGCCACTCGACCAAAAACCGCTATGCCAAGCCTAGGTGCGTAAAGTGCCTAGGTGACCATGGCATTGCTGACTTCACCCGCACGCCCGAGACAGTTGAGCCTCCGCGATTCGTCAACTGCGGTGAAGCGGGGCACCGAGCGAACTATCGCGGATGTTCCAAAGCGCTGCGAAGGAAACAGCGCGAAAAAATCCCAGACGCGCAAGTCATGCCAGCGTGTCTCGTTCCCGGCAGCCTACCCCCAAACCTACATGCTCGGTGTCCGCACCTACACTTCCGACCGTCACCAAGTCCGCCCCCGTCGCAAGGGTCTCTATGCAAGGTGCAAGCCTTCCCCGCGCCTTCCGCATAGCAACCCAAATCTTAGGTAAAGCCTTCGGTACTCACGGCCAACGCCGTTTCCGCAGGCTCCTAAACCCAAACCTGTCCCAAAATGCATTGAGCATATAGAATTAATAGACGCAATCTGGTCTTTCCAGTGAGCTTAACCACCTAATTAACAATTACGTAATGGCAGTAACATAACTATTGTAGTTCTCTCTGACTGTCGCGTTTTAACGCCAACGGCATCAGGAACCGATAAAAACGAGACCGCGCTCTTCCTGTGCAACAATGATGTAGACGTTATGCTATGCAAGAGACCTTTAAAAACCTAGCCATCGCGATCCTACGATCGTAAATTAGAAATAATAGGTTGACCAGCCCTAGAGGCGACACCTTAATCTCCTACCTTATGTCTTTTCACTGAGTACTAATCCATATTCTATCGTTAATAAATTTAAAATCGTCAATTTGTACGATAGCTCTGACTGGCCTGCCCATCCGACAGGCCACTAACCATAGTATTGGCGTACCTACCGCCACTTATTAAACAATTAGTAGAACTAGATATCTCTGTAGTACGAGTATCTACCTAGGTGTACGTATGTTTGGGCACAATCTAATATATAAATTTAATAATAACATAATTACAATCTTTACGTATACTATAACGTAATTATGTCAACACACGGGCGTTTCATTTCTCTCTTCCTTACATGGCGACCCAGCCAGGCGGTGAGCTGCTACAATGCTAGTGCACCGCCGGGACCCATATAGAAGATAAAGTAATTTGTTGAAGAAAATAAATACATCAATATAAATACATAATAATAATATAATAACAAAGTGCACATAATACCGGATGTGACAAATAAAATTTAAAATGCGAATATAAGAAGAGACTGCAATTTTACTTATATTTACAGAAGATTTTTGAGGACCAATATACTAATGACAAGGACAGTGAAGAACCAAAAAATGACAAACAAGGGTGAGACTATAAAAAGTAAAGATATATCCAGTGTTTAAAGGACTTAATAATAAATTCATTAACGAATAGCTTTAATAAAGTTTTACAAAACTGATCATTTCCAGACTCACTTAAAATAGCCAAAGTAACACCTATTTACAAATCGGGACTAAAAATAGAACCGGGCAACTAGCGACTTATGTCTGTATTGCCAGTATTATTAAAAATTCTCGAAAAAATCTTACCTGCACGGCTACAAAACTACTACAATAGAGAGACAGTACGGATTTCGATCTAACAGTAGTTCACTCACAGCTACAACTGATCTCGTAACTATAATCAAACATAACATTGATAAGAAAAACATCGTACTAGGAGTATTTAATGATTTTAAAAGGTGCGCCGTAAGTCATAAATTGCTTTAAAAAAAACTGGAAGTCATTGGTATTATTGGCATAGCCTTAAAAATGTTTGAGTCTTACCTCACTAATAGATCCCAGATCGTAAAAATAGACAGTAGCAGCCAAAGTTCTCTACAACCCATATCCTGTGGAGTTCCACAAGGTTCAATACTGGGTGCTCTTCTCAGTCTATATTAATAATATGCACGAGTTGGGCTTGAATGGCAATATCACACTCGCCGACGACACTTGTCTTTTTACTTCGATTCTTCAATTCATGCTCTTGTCTCTCAAGCCCAGCACGACCTTGACATTCTTCGCAATTCGTTACAATACAATTTATTAAATATCAACATTTCCAAAAATAGCTATTTAATATTTAAAGGAAAAAATAAACCTATACCCAATTACTCACCTCTCAAAATAAATAATACACCAATTCAAGAAAAAACCAATGAAACATATCTTGGCCTTTATTTGGATATCCATTTTACGTGGAATGTTCACATTAAGTATTTAACAACCAAATTAATGTCACTTCATGCCTCCCTCCGGATAAATTTTCGATACATACCACAGAAACTACAATTCACAGTATACTTATATAATGCCCTAGTAAAACCACACCAGTTATATCTCATCGGAGTCTGGAGAAGCGCCACTAGTACTAGATTAAACAAATTACAAATCCTACAAAATAAAATAATTGAAATGCTATTCAAGTACGACTTCCAAACATCAACTTCAAAAAATTTCCGAGAAAGGAAACTGATGAACATCAAACAATTATACATTTATAACACCTGTATCTTTATTCGTAAATCCATAAACAAGAAGGTCCGCACGGACCTGAAATTCACAAAGCGAAAAAAATTTGGGCGCATCTGCACTCGATGCGCAAGCAAGAACAAAGTACGGTTGGACCACAATTACATGCAAAAGTGCGCGCCTTTTTAATAAGATACCTACCCTCAGAAATAAAAAAGTAGACTTGTTCAATGTATTCAAAAAGTGACTAGCAAATCGTATAATCACAAATATATTTATTTTAATGCGTTGGACGGGTTTGTTCCTGACTAGGTTTATGTTGTTAAGGTGATAGTGAATTCCAGAATTTGTGAGTGACTGTTGTCATTTTATACTTTTTCTTTTACTTGTATAGATTTTTCCCGTCGATAGCTGTTTTTGATGTTGTTTATTTTTCAACAACATAGGTACGACAACAAATTTTATTTAGATTTACTTTTATTTACGTTCTCATGTAAGTGACGTATATAATATCTTTATGACAATAAATGTCTTTAAACCTTAATCTGAATGGCTAAACTAAAGTCGTAGAACTCACTGCAAATTTTATAAAAGAAGAGAACTCAATAGTAATAAAGGATAATATGAAAATATAAAAAGTAAAATCGAAGGCGATGATATACTTAAAGAAAAATGTTATAGAAAAAATGAAGAAAGACCTGAACAATAAATTATAGGAAAAGCTCTAGTACCATTGCTATTAAATCAGGATTCACAAGTTTCAAGAAAGAAGATTTCAAGATTCAGAAAACATCTTAATCAAAATTCCTTCAAGAAGAGTGCCCATAAATGTAGAACATTTACCAAAAATAAAAAGAAAAGAGAAAAGCGCTTCTTTTTCCTTTGAAACGAGGAAGTTCAGGCCCAACCACATCGGTGAGTTAACAACATCTTCGAATGCCAAAGCAGTAGAAAGAAGTCAGGGGTACAACTAGCGACTAGTCAAGTTCCGTAGCAAGTACAAAATATATCTCGAAAGTGCCGAATGTAAGTCATATTATATAATTGTATCTATGTCAATGTGTCAAATTATATATTTGTATATGTATCTATATACTAAATAAAATTAGTATCTAAGTATATTTTGAGGTATAAGAAATCAAAAACAAATTCAATCTTTCAAATTATCAAAATAATTTTATTTGACTACAATTTTCGCAGCCAACCGTACGTACACTAGTGTGTATGAGTTCGATTCTATACCTATCAATTTTGTAAACGCGTCCTTAAAACAGACAAATAATAAAACACAATCCGCAGCTATATCGCTTCGAAGTATTCGCTTGCATTGCCAATTCAATACTGACCCGGTCGTGGTCCATACCAGTGTTATATAGGCCCTCTTCTACTCAAACATCTATAATTTTCGAGTACGTACGGGTCCCCACTGACTAGGTGTAGAAAGTTCTAGTATGGAATTCTTCAAAAGGATTAGTTCTGCTACTCGATACTAGATGCGCTAGACGCTAGTGCCATGTACCAGGCATTAATTACGGCGCGCAACAATACCCCCTTCTAAGATATGCTCGTCCCGAGTATTATCGGCTCCATAGTAATGCACCAGTCAATCCACATGGCCGATCTTAGTAGTACTACTTGCACCTTCCTGTATGTAGGTTACGTTATTAATACCCGTCACAATCCGGTACGGTCTGTCCCATTTAACTTGAAGCTTAGGAGATTTCCCTTTGCTGCGGACTGGATTGTGCAACCACACTAGTGAACCTTCGTCGCACCTTTGTTGTTCATTTTGCGGTCATACCGGGTTTTCATCTTTTCAGACATTTGCTGGCCCAATTGTCTGACGTGCTCATAAATGTCATTCATTTTGCTCCGCAAGTCATTTGTATGGCATCAGGTAGTATTCCGGTGATCAGGTTTGCTGGCGGCCGTAATTCTCTTCCAAAGTTTGCGAAAGCTAGTGTTATAGATGTACTTTCGTGAACAGCACTTCGATATGACAACAAAAACGGTTGTATCTGCTTGTCCCAATCTCGTTGCCTATTTCCACAACATTTGCTAGGTACCTCTATAATGTCTGATTAAATCGTTCTGCCATACCATCAGATTGCGGGTGGTAAGAAGTTCCTCTTGTTTTAAGAGTACCCATAACTCGGCAAGTTTCCTGAAATATTTGAGACTCAAAATTCCTTCCTTCATCGCTGTGAATTTCTAAAGGTACTCAAATACGACAGAAGACTTCATGAACTAGTTTATCTGCAACTGTTG